TGGACTAAGGCCAAAGAAACTAAAATCGATGATGTATCACCAAATTACTCACGACAAAAGAAAAACTGTTTTAAAAAAAACATTGTTTCGCCATATTTAATAATAATTTTTTACTTTTTCATCAAACCTTCAAATAAATTTGTAAATTAAAAATGATTCTCCATTTATAAAGTATCATATCCGATAATTATCTTGAACTGTGGTTTCTTGGTCTCTCTAAAGAACCAAATAGAGGACATTTTTAGAATTAATCACTTTTCAAGATACAGAAATTTCCATATATTCCAAATTATTGATCAGATTAAGGTTTAGAGGTGTACCAATGAACCATGTTGTGAATCGGGTATGCCCTCTTTAAATGAATGCCTCCTTAAAATATATATAAAAAGAGAGAGCCAATTATATGTCAAACAAAAAAAAAAGATTTGAACAATAGGTTTAGAAATCAAAGAAATCCAATTAAATCATTCTTTTAAAGAAGAAAATCAATATTTTGAGAAATATAGTTAAATATTACACATATTCTGATCAATGTCGAAAATGCGCCTAGATGAAAAATAGTGTCTGATTGGAAAAAAGTTCCTTAATTAGAAATTGCGTAAATCAATACGGCATCTTTTAATACAATACATTTAAATGCAAAATGAGACCTATATAATATGAAAAATAATGCCTAAAGGGCATCTTGAATGGAAAAATGTCGCTTAAATGTATATTAGAGTCTAAATGCGCAAAATAGGGTCTTCGTGTAGAATGACAATGTACAACAAAATGGCTCCTTAATGCAAAATGGCGCCGAAATAAAAATGGCGTCTAGATACAAAATGGTGGCTAAACGCAAAATTGAGCCTAGATTTAAAATGGTACCAGGGCGCAAAATGCCGTGAAAAAAAACAAGATGGTGCCCAGAAGCAAAATGGCCCCTGAAAACAAAAACTGAAAAGCATAAGACTTGATTACAAATGTGTGTAGTTACAAACATCGTAGATATTGCAGACTTCAACCTATTTTAAGTACAATGTATTCTTCAATAATCCTTGAGCGCAAAAAGTTTAGTTGCTAGCTTGAAGCGCGCATAGAATTTCACCCCTCCCATTCCCTTCACCCACGCGTTTATCATATCACCTCTTCTCCCTTCTTCATCCCTTTACAATATATTTGTATTGGATAGATTTGTATATTCTTCAAATTCTTCTTTCCCTTGTTTAAAGAATTGCCATTATTCCGATTTTCTAGACATTTTCAATTTTTATACTAGAAGAGACTCCAATTTTTAAAATAATTTTGGGGGAGCTTGGGAAAAATACTTTTTTGCATCATTTGCAATTATTGTCGTGAAAAGATCTTCTTCAGAAGGGATTCCTACCTTTAAGTACATTTTCCTATCCTTCCATAATTGTGTACATTATTACAAGTTTTTGCTCTGGATGTAACGAAATTAATCCAGCATATTCACGAATCCAATTCGTTTCTCCTCTTCTCCAAATAGTAAATTCTTGCAAAAGAAATTTCAAGCGTTTCTTGGAATGTTTGTTCGTAAAGTTTCTATAGGTTTATTACTGTATTAAAGTGCGTATTTCTATGCGTATATTGACCCCTGTATACGCATGAGAAGATGAGCGTAATACCGGTCACGACTTCTACGCAAAAAGTGCGTAAATTTATTTAAACTGGCGAAAGATTAGACTTTTTAACCGGATACATGGGATCAAAATATCCTTTAGTTACTATTGGGCAATTCCTGCGTAATCTCGTTTTTCTGTCTGCCAGTCTACATTTCTGCTTCCCGTACAGTGTACTGCACTGTGCATGTACATTTTTATTTGTATATAAAGTATGTAATGTTAATCTTTCTTTGTCTGTCTGTTTGTTTGAATGTGAATGTGAATTATCAAAATTATGCTTTTATCCTCCTCGGATACTATAGGAACACTAATGCAAAGAATTATAATGTAATAATATTTATTTCAGAGGTGTACGCATCTTTTGTACTGCAGTCTACCGTCTCTGGGCGGTAATGTAAACACAAGACGGATGTCACAGCCTGACTTGGGATCCATCTTTTACATACAAAATCAATGAAACATTCTGGCCATAGGAAACTATTATGTGCTAAGTTATTAAAATTAAATGCTTTTATCCTCCTCGGATACTAGACTGATGCGTCTATTCTTGTTTACAAAGACAGCTCAGAGAGAGCTGGTTTAACCATGTACGCAGAGAATACGCAACAGCAAATAACTTTCCTCTTCTTATTACCTTGCTCTGATGCATCAATTCTTGTTTACAAATACCGCCGAGATAGAACTGGTTTCATGAAGTACGCAGAGAATACGCAACCTCAATTAACTTTCCTTGTATTATTACCTTGTGTATCCTAGTCGCTACTCGCGCCGCATGGTCTACAGTTCTGCATCCCGTACTATGTACACTTCAAACCTGCAGAGCCTGAAATTTAAAAGAGTATCGTTGAACGAAACTCCTGAGTTTCCTTTTTGGGGTCTTAACACTTGTGTAGATTTTGTTTTAAGAGATTCGAAAAAAATGGAGACTAGAAACAAACTGAATTATATAATATTTCATAACAAAAATATTTATTTTCACAAAACTCCCTAACCCCGTTCATAAAACCCGGGTTTTAGAACTGGTTTTAATAACGATACCCTGTCTTAGTTTTGGGCTCTGAGCCCAAAACTTAAGACTGGGTATCGTTATGAAAACCAGTTTTGAAACCCGGGTTTCACGAATGGGGTTTAGGCAGTTTTGTGGATATCAATATTTTTGTTACATGAAATATTGTTTTATTTAGTTTCTTCATATTCTTTATTTTTTTCTAATCTCTTAAATCAAAATCTACAAAAATACTAAGACCCCAAAAAAGAAACTCGGGAGTTTTGTTCAACGATACTCTTTTAAATTTCGGGCTCTGGACACATTTTAATTTTTAACCGACTATGTACTCCCTAAAACTTTAAACTTCTATTTGGGATTATAACTATATATTCTGGACCCAACTATATATCCCTAATTACACTATATATTTGGGATCCAAATATATAATCGAGATCAAACTATATGTTAAACTTTATATTCGGGATCCAACTGTATATTCAAGATCCAACTACTTATTTGGGAACAAACTATATATTCGGGATCCAACTTTATATTTGGAATCCAACTGTACTGTATATGCGGGATCCAACTACCTATTCGGGATCAAACTATGTATTCGGAATCCAGCATATATTCGGGATCCAAATTAATATTCGGGATCCAACTGTTAATTCAGGATCAAAATATGCATTTGGAATCCAACTATACATTCAGGATCCAACTTAATATTCGGGATCCAACTCTTTATTCAGGATCAAAATATGTATTTGGGATCCAATTATATATTCAGGATCCAACATTATATTCGGGATCCAACTTTGTATACTCGGGATCGATTCATTTATATATTCGGGATCCAACTTTGTATACTCGGGATCGATTCATTTATATATTCGGGATCCAACTTTGTATACTCGGGATCGATTCATTTAAATATTCGGGATCCAACTTTGTATACTCGGGATCGATTCATTTAAATATTCGGGATCCAACTTTGTAAACTCGGGATCGATTCATTTATATATTCGGGATCCAACTTTGTATACTTGGGATCGATTCATTTATATATTCGGGATCCAACTTTGTATACTCGGGATCGATTCATTTATATATTCGGGATCCAACTTTGTAAACTCGGGATCGATTCATTTATATATTCGGGATCCAACTTTGTATACTCGGGATCGATTCATTTATATATTCGGGATCCAACTTTGTATACTCGAGATCGATTCATTTATATATTCGGGATCCAACTTTGTAAACTCGGGATCGATTCATTAATATATTCGGGATCCAACTCTGTATACTCGGGATCGATTCATTTATATATTCGGGATCCAACTTTGTATACTCGGGATCGATTCATTTATATATTCGGGATCCAACTTTGTATACTCGGGATCGATTCATTTATATATTCGGGATCTAACTATATATATTCGGAATCCAACTATATATCAGAAATCCATATATATATATTTAGGATCCAACTATATATTCTGAATCCAGTAATTTATTCAGGATCCATTTATGTATTGGGGATCTAACTATATATTTGCGATCCAACTAAAATATTCGGGATCAAAATACATATTTGAGATCAAATAGTCAAATATTGTCACGTCATTGGCGACCATTTTAATTAAGGGGAAATTACTTTTTTAGTTCGAAGGTTACAATCATAAATATTGAGCTTAATCATGCATTATAAAGGCGTTGAAATGTGTTCCGAGATCATTAAATATGTTCCAGGATCATGATATATGTTCCGGAACAATAAAATATGTTCCAAGATTGAAATATGTTCCAGGATGATGAAATATGTTCCAGGATGATGAAATATGTTCCAGAATTGAAATATGTTCCATGATCATGAAATATGTTCCATGATCATGAAATATGTACCAGGATAATAAAATATGTTCCAGGATCATGAAATATATTCGAGAATCATGAAATATGTTCCAGGATCATGGAATATGTTCCAGGTTCATGAAATATGTTCCAAGATCATGAAATATGTTCCAGGATAATAAAATAGTTCCAGAAGTACGAAATATCTTCCAGGGTCATGAAATATGTTCTAGGGTCGTGAAATATGTTCCAGGATTGTGAAATATTTCCCCGAACAATCAAATATGTTTCAGTATGATGAAATATTTTCCAGGATGATTAAATATGTCCCAGAATAGTGAAATATGTTCCAGGATCATAAAATACGTTCTAGAATTGAAATATGTTCTAGGATCATGGAATGGGTTTAGGATCATGTGATGTGTTCCAGGATAATGAAATAATTTCCAGGATTATGAAATATGGTGCAGGGTCATGATATATGTTCTAGGATTGTGAAATATGTTCCAGGATATTGAAATATGTTCTGTTACGCGAGCTACGCTGCGTTCATAAAGTCTATGTGATACCCCTGTGATTCTCTGAGTTCCCCCTGAGGATCTGTACAGAACGTATTGTAAAGAACTAGTTTTAGAAGCTGTTTACAGTCCGACTACGCATGCGCAAGTTCTCTGCGTGGAAGCGAGCAGTTTCTACTTCAGTATATAGTTGTATTTCATGTAAAGTTCGTCGATTATTAAAACCGTGTGAGATTCTAGGACCACTGCGGTAATTATGATTATATTTATATGAATCTTGTTTATTTATGTTCGGTTATGGTTGATATTGTATAATGTAATGTATGGGTTCCTTGCCACAGTTTTTTAATGCCTGAGTGGATTTATTGCTGTATTTGTATGATTTATCACTCAATGCTTTTTCTGTAGGCTTATAAAAGATTATTTAGATTGAAGGCTTAGAGAAATAAACGTTCGGAACCTTATTATCATCCTTTTGTCATGGAGAGCGTTGAGAGAAGGAAGCCTTACAATCCTATCCAGAGAAATACCACTCGGTACTTATAAGTTTCATTAGGTCTTTAGGGAATTCGCTAAGTAGCGAAACATGTTCTAAGATTGTGAAATACGTTCCAGGATCATGAAATGTGTTCTAGGATTGTGAAATATGTTCCAGGATCATGAAATAAGTTTCAGGATCATGAAATATGTTCCAGGATCATGATATATGTTCCAGGACCCTGAAATATGTTCCAGAACCATGAAATAAGTTCCAGGATCATGAAATATGTTTCAGGATCATGAAATAAGTTCCAGGATCATGAAATATGTTCCAGGATCATGAAAAATGTTCCAGGACCATACAATATGTTCCAGGACCATACAATATGTCCCAGGATTATAAAATATGTTCCAAGACTATGAAATATGTTCCAAGACTATGAAATATGTTCCAGGCATATGAAATATGTTTCAGAACTATGAAATATGTTCCAGGACTATGAAATCTATTCCAGGAATATAAAATACATTCCAGGACTATGAAATACGTTCCAAGACTATGAAATATATTCCAGAACTATGAAATATATTTCAAGACTATGAAATATGTTCCAGGACTATGAAATATGTTCCAGGACTATGAAATATGTTCCATAACTATTAAATATGTCTAAGGACTATGCAATATGTTCCAAAACGATGAAAATTTGTTCTAGGACAAAAAATATGTACTAGAATCATGAAATGTGTTTAAGGATTTCAAAGTCAGCTCAATGATCATGAAACGTGTTTCAAATCCATTCCAGTAGTTCCAGAATCATTAAAAGTGGTATGGATCGACTGTCTTTATCGTCCTGGATATCAACAATTAAGAAAACGCTTCTCTATTACAAAACCCACAAGTTAATTTTAAAGTTTTACATCATAAATATCATACAAAAAAATTGTTCAAAATAAAAATAATAATAATAAATGCGGTCAAATAATATTCATTTATAAAAATTTGTTTATTTTCTTTTATTAACCGTATTTCTGTAAATTTAGATAATTTGTGTAACTCTGTTTTGACATTGAAAGTTTTTGCCTTATCATGCCCTAGCTCCTTTTGTTAGTTTAGTATTGGGGCCGTGTTAGTATTCAATTATCTATAGAAATTGAAAATTTTAGATTTCCGAGTCCCCCCCTTTCCTACCCCGGCTGTAGGCCACGATTTTTTACAAAAAAATAACTGGGGTTATTACGAAGAATAAGAGGCCATAATCTTAAGAAGATAATCAGTTTTTAACAGATTTTATGGACTGTAAGCGTAATTTTAAATGACCCTCCTGGCAAAGTTGGCGACTGTACCCTTTTAAACGTTACTCTGATCAAAAATGTGGAAGATACAATCATATTTTCTGACTCAAAAAGTATTTATTTCTGTGAGTTTTTCCATGCATTGATTCTCTCAAGCAAGAAATGCGCAAGTCGCAATCATGCAGAGAAACCGCTCATTAAAATAAATAGTATATAAAAACTAAAATATTGATATATATTTCATTCTTCAGCAAACAAAATTTGTATGGGTACCATTCTAAATAGGACATTGCCATCTTTGTATGGAGGGTCACTTTAAATTATGCTTACAGTCCCTTTAATATCTCATTCTTTCTTGATCAGTCAAATGTGTAAAATTTGATGAATAGATAAGGGTTTTTAGATTGAATATTTAGTCTTATAATTGTATCATTAAAAGAAATCATTATTCAAAGCTTTTTCTGAGTAACGTATGTTATTTTATAGTGGAAATTTTTCCATGGTGGTTGATGTTTTTTTCTGAGTAAATAATGATCCAATACACTTACAGTACAGTTAAGATGAAGTTATTTTTCTCTTGTTAATTCTGTAATAATGGATGTTCTTTATGATGAAACATAATTGGGAAAAAAAATATATTTTCCTAATTTTGTTACTCAATGTTCAGATCTAAGAAATGAAAAATAATTGAGAAGGTTCAAATCCTGATATTTTAATTAACTAGGTTTGTATTCCTGTAAACAAATTTAATATTTAACTGTTGATTCGAAAGTCGTTCATTTTAAATTTTCAAATTTTAACGGTTTTTTTCTTTTCGAATTCGCGCATTTCAAAAAAAGTCCAACTATTTTCCAGGACTTTTTTTCAATTTTAATGTTTTATAAACCTTCCCTGGGGTCGTGTGAGCTCCCACACAAAATTTGGCAAGACAGACAGACAGACAAGCAAATTATGTATATAGATTGACAAGATACTCTCAAACCCCTTTTTACCAAAAAGAAGGGTATAGATAGCCATAATAAAATTGTTAATTGAGAATGATACAGGTCGTCTTCTTAAACCTAAGACTCCCCCACCTATTCTCCATAGTTTTAAATCTATAACTGGATAACGGCTTGAACTCAAAATTCTTTTCTAACCTGATACAGTGCTAATCTAAATATCCTTAAATAATATATTAATTGGTTGAAGAATTAAATTTATCCTTGACATGTGTAATTTGCGGTATATTCATTATAAGCAACCAAGCAACCAAGTTTTAGCAATATTTTTCTTATGAAACAAATGAAATAATGGCAGACATTCCAACATAAGGTCTCCCATTTTTTTTCTTTCAAAAGCACCAGAAATGTTAAGAATGTCTTAATTTTAAGTTATCAAATAAAACCATAAAAATGATTAGTTTTCAACGAAATCATTGTGATTGTGAAAGCAACATTTTTTGAACATTTGTAAGGGGGGGGGGGGGGGGGGGTAAAGGCATATATTTTGTTAAATCATTCAGTAGGCATGACTCGTTTAAATATATGGGCTTGGATAAGTTGTTTTTCAACTTTTCAAATGTGTAGAAAGTTTTTTTTGCATATTTTGACATAAGTTGGAAATTTGATTTTAAGTGTTTTGAAATACACATAACGCTAAACTCTGCAGTATAAAGTTAATTTGATGATAACAGAGAAATATAATAATTCTCCAGTTCTATCAGATAAATTTGATCGAAAAATCGAAATACCTAAAATCATTGAAAAATTACGAAAATTTTGTTAGAATTTATTAACATATTTTTAGGGATAATTCTGAAATCGTGATAATTTCGAAAAATCAAACTTAGTTTAGTGTGGCTTGTATGTTTTATATATTTACCAACTATAAAACAGCTTAAATATTCCAACCATTATGATCAAATACTTGTATCTGTAATATTTAACAACTTTGGAATAAAATTATCATAAATAGAGAGAAATTATACGCTTCAAACTGTCCAAAGAATAAAATCAACATTATTGGGGTTTCTCCAGGTGTTTTACATGTTTTCCGGGATTTTGGTCTTTTTAGAAAAACCCATGAATTAATATTTTTATAGTCGGTTTTATTTTCACTCTATCCATTCAAGGGTCGGTATCTGCAAGCGTATAAATGCTATGTTTTTCTGACACAAAAAAGGGTTTATTTCTGTGTATTTATCCATGGTTTCTTATAAACAAGATATATGCAAGTATCGAACTTTCAAACCAAATGTTAGATACATGTTTGAAAATTTAATACGCACTAACAAGTTCACAATGTTTAATGTTTATAATAAGAAGGAATCTATGTTCTAAACATTGTTTAGAAAAAATCTAAATAATCAGAGCTATTTAGGCCCACTGAACAAACATACTTAGGCCTGACAAATAAACTTGCAGCGTATTCATTTGATCAACACTAACTTTTTCAAGGTTCTATATATTTTCATTTTCAGTGGGATTGTAAGCGTAATTTCAAGTTACCCCTCTGGTCCGTCATGCAAAGATAGCAATATCAATAATTTGAAAGATATTGCAGTTTTTTTTGGCTTAACATTTTTTCATTCTAATAATTCCTATATTCTTTCCAGCAAGTAGAAATACACAATGACCGAATTTTATAAATTTAAGCCGCGTCTAAAATCCCCCAAAAACCGGTTTCAATTGAGCGCCGGCTTAAATCTTGAAAAATTGAATACAAATTTAAGTGGAACCAACAAAATAGAAATTCGGCCTTAAGTCAATTATTTAGAGGAGAAACCACAAATGAAAATAATCAAAATTGTATAACCGTTGATTTTTAATTCATATTTAAACACACAAAGCTTTAGCATATACCCTCCATGTAAAGACAACTAGAAATTACGCGAACACTCTTTTTATTTTTTGAATCATTTGTAAACATATTCCAAGTCACGAATCTGTATATCTGAAATATAGTCGATCTTTATTTTTATGTCTTTACTCGCATTTTGAATAAAAACTTTTAGCTATTCAATCTTTATGCTCTGTATTAAATACATATCTTTGTTTGCTGTAAGGAAACTGATAACTCACCTCAAACTCTAATTTTCTAATCATTGTATTTTTTCAAACTGATGATGTAAACCTTAGATATTTCAAACTTTGATTATTTTACCAGAATTCATAGTAGGAAATATCATAGGTTTACAGACACCATCAGATTGCAAAGATCCAAAGATGTATGGATAAAAATTCTTCATTTCAGTCACCTCTTTTTCTGGCATGTCCGATTAAACCTTTACCCGAAAGTCGACGATACAGAAATTCTCATTTTTCTTGCTGAAAATTTATTGCCTAGAGTGCGAGGAGGGGAGGAAGGCCAGCAACAACAATTTCTCATCCGAGCCACATTCTCCTCATTTTCTCGTCCGAACCACCTCGAAATCCTCGTCCTTCTATTATTATTTGTTGAAAAGTTTCTAATTCTTAAAGATGATTATTTTTAACAAATCTGGCCACGTTAGGGCATAAAAAATGGATAAACTAAAGTATTGAAATGATCAAATCATGTTTGAATCTTTAGAGACATGAGAATGGTGTCAAACTTTATTCAGGTAAAACTTAAATCTTTTTTGCCTTCGTAATGGCCTACTTTCGCGATATGAAATAAATAGCAAAATATTTGTCATACCTCTGCCAATCATTTTCCCCATGGAACCACCCGGAATATTTCATTTATGCCCTAACGTGGCCCGATTCTTCACAAATTGTTTTATCTTGGAGGAATAGAC